GTAAAGTTGCAAACTTTACGTGCATGCAAGGCCTCTCATGGCCATAATACTCAAAACTAACCCTTAACAAGGTTTTCATGCATGGAGAGGGAATGAGCTCATAAAAAGATGTAACTTTATGACTTCTGGGACTTAAGAAGGTCCAGATCTGGAACCATATCCTTGTGATAGGTCCAGATCCAACCTTGATCCCCTTTCCTTCTATAATGGCCATAATCTTCCAAAAGAAAATTAAGGATCTTAAACTGAAAGTGATAGATTGATACCTCAAACGAATGCCCAAGACGAACTAAATGCTAGATCTAGTGCTTTCCCCCTTGATACTTCTTCTTCAAGCTTGGAATTCCTTCCACAATCCCAAGTTTTAAGCTCCCAAAGCTCTCACTTCACACACCCAAGTGTTTGCGGCCAAAAACGATCTCTTATGATGCTAATGGAGGCTACAAAGGCGTATAATGTCGTTTATATAGGGGGCAAACCCCAAAATTTAGGGTTTTCTTTAAACAGCTCGGACTCGTCGAGTCGACCCTTCGACTCGCCGAGTCGGTCCGTCTCGCGTTCCATGATACCACGACCCTACTCGACGAGTTGATCTCCCAACTCGCCAAGTCCATGCATAAAACCTTTCAAAATCAAACCAGGTGTTACAATTTCTGTGGGTAGCCGATGAAAATACATCGCTCACTCCGAGATTCGAGCTTGTCGTGAGTTTCTTTTTCTCACAAAATCCTTGCAACCCCAAAGTTTGATGTGGTCTAATGTGGGAACTTTCCCTGTCCACATCTCGTGAGGTGTTTTGGAAACCTTTTTGGTAGGGACTAGATTAAGGATATGGGCGGCAGTCTCTAAGGCATACCCCCGGAATGAGATAGGTAGCGAAGCTCGACTCATCATGGAACGAACCATGTCTAGCAAGGTTCTATTGCGCCTCTCAGCCACACCATTAAGCTGTGGCGTCCTAGGTGGCGTCAATTGTGAAACAATTCCACATTCCTTAAGACAGTCAATGAACTCGATACTAAAATACTCTCCTCCACGATCGGATCGCATCATCTTTATCTTGCTGCCCAATTGATTCTCCACGTCTTGCTTAAACTCTTTGAACTTTTCAAAGATTTCTGACTTATGCTTGATTAAGTAAATATACCCATATCTACTATAATCATCAGTAAAAGTCACATAGAAGCGGTTAGCATCCCTTGTGGCGATTCTGAATGGTCCACACACAACAGTGTGTATGAGATCCAACAGACCTTCACCCTTTCACAAGTACCAGTGAAGGGTGACTTGGTCATCTTTCCAAGTAAACAAGATTCGCAAGTGTCATCCGACTTTAAGTCGAATGACTCCAAAACTCCATCCTTTTGGAGTTGGGCTATGTGTTTCTTGTTGACATGTCCAAGACGACAATGCCACAAGCATGCCTTATCCAAATCATTGGAAGAATCAATATTCAACACATTATTTCCTAAGTTATCTACAACCATCACATTTCCAATTGCAACTTTTACAATTGATTTTCCTTCTCGGTATTGGCATATTTTCTAACTACCACTATAGTGTACCATAAATATCAAAACAAGTGGTAATGTCCTGTCTTGATATATAACAATGAGAACATACCCATACAACCTTTTGGACTTTGTTTATCATACAAACAACGAAACAAACACCTTAGGCTTTTCTTTGTTGATGCGTGTGAATCCATAGCGTTTTTTCATGTTGTTTGCCAACGTTAAAACTACATATACCCCATGATTGTCTAATTTACCCAATCAAGTTGTGTACTTTGCTAATATAAACATGAACAAACATAGTTTAGTTTTCTCACATACATTGAATCAACCTTAAGTTGTTGAATTCACGGTCCATTCACGACGGATAATCGTTATGAAAATCATTCCATAAACATGTTGCATTATCATAGTTAGAAAGCATAAATCATACATTGGGAGCAATCGAATGTGTGAGCCAAGATTTCATGAGACATCATTGATCATACCATCTGATATGGACCAACACACAAGAGCCCAAAAGACAACCCACAACACAGAACCAATCGCTACCTCTCGACCCAAAAGAATCATCACAAACCCCGGGTCGTTTCAAGGACTAAAACATGCAGATTAATTGGTCAATTCTTGCCATGAAAATGTGACATCCCCTAATTTCTCGGCCAGAAAAGACCGATTTAATTTATGCTTTTTAAAATAAAATCAGAGAAATCTTTTTAAAAGATGTTGCGGAATTGGTCCCCAAAACAAAACATGATAAAAGTTTGTCAAAACCTTTCTTTAAGAAATATATAATTTCCTTTTATATCAAAACCTCGGGATGTCATGTTCCGATACAGATCAAAAGCATAAACAAGACATTATAAGCCTTACAACAGTTATTTATAACTACTGGCCTATAATCCAAAGATCACTCATCATCATCATCATCCGACTATGCTCGGGGTCCACTACCTGTAATATAAAAAGCTGAGTGGGTAAGGCTTGGGATCCTGGTGAGCATATAGGGTTTTCAACCCACAATAATAATAAACTTATTAAGTTCATCAATCAACAATAACCCTGATTACCCGTTCCCGTTATCCTCACTTTACGTCCCTAAACACTTATCACAAGGGACCTAGCCTAAAGAATATCATCGGGATGGACACTACTGCTAAGGGGTTTCCTCAGCCATACATGTCCTAAAGGAAACCATGAGGGGGGTGGAGTACAACGAATAAACGCTCAAGTTAATTAACACCTACAGGTTGCGGGCCTGCTAGCGTTTCCACTGGACTGTCTAGAAAAGTCTGTGGTCGTCATCCAAACTCCGCTAGATGACTGAATCTCAATCACATCGAGGCCTCTCATCACTTTATTTCATCACTCACCAACTATCTACCCATGTTTTACCCAACATATTTGTAGATAAAAATACATATACAGTTTAAAAACTTGTATAAAACATCTATTCAACAATCACCTCAAATAAACAATTAATATATTTACACATAGCATGTATTTTAAGGTAAATACTTCATATCTATGTGTAAGGTGAAAGTAACTACACACTCACCTGATTTAATGAAAATCGGGCAGCAATTCGTTTCCTAAAACGATCGTTTCTAATAAAACCGGGAGTTTTATTGAGAAACCGGGCTTTGCGAGGGGTCGGGCTTCGAAACCGAAAAGATAAATTTTCCGGGCTTTCGGGCACTTCGGGACGTGTTTCGGGTGCTATAATCGATACCGGGGCTTCGGGGGATGTCAAAATAGCCAAAATATTGAAAAATGGGCCAAAATTGCCAATTTTCCAAAAGTACCCGGGAAGGCTCGCAAGCCTTCTATATATAGGCCCGAGGATGCTGATCGGATGGTTGAGAAGAGTCTACGCGGCAGCAGATCCGAAGAGTAGTCCCTATGGCTCGCACGTGGGCTGCGCATGCGAGGGCCTCGCTGGCAGTTCCTGATTGGACCGAAGTCCGGGTCCAAGGAGGGGGGGGGGGGGGCTCGTGGCTCATGCGAGGCTCGGATGCGATGAGTCACTGTACACGCATCAGACGTAGGCGAGGCGGCTTCGGACAGCTCTCCAGATTCGAACACGCATCTACCAGCTGCTCGGATGACTCAGCTATTTCGGACACGTGGCAGATTTTGGGCGAGGGTGACGTGGCTGAAGCCACCTATGCGAAATTTCTCGATTTTTGTGCAAAAACTTCTAAAATCCATGACTTTCGCATACGAGCTCCGTTTTTGATGTTCTTTATATGCACACGTAGGTAAAATTACGCTCTACAACTTTCATTTAGACTTTGTCGGCTAATTTTGACTTTAATTTTTATATTATTATTTTTAACAGACCGGGACAGGAAATCCGTTAAAAATTCATAACTTCTTCATCCGACGTCCGTTTTCGTCAGACTTTTTACCGTTGTACTGATATTGACGAGACCTTCGATTCTCGTTTAGGTCGTGTCGGCTAAAAATCACTCGATCGAAAATTCGAGTTTTTAGCTGTCTACTGCTAACCTGAAACTTCGAAAAATCATAACTTCCTCATACGAAGTCAGATTTGGGTGTTCTTTTTATACATACTCTCGGTTTAACGAGCACTACGAGTTTCGTTTAGATCACTAAGGCTAAAAAGTAGTTTATCAAAAACTCACTTTTTACGACATTCGGCACCGTGCCGGTTTATCGCGAAACTTCGACAGGTCATAACTTCTTCGTTATAACTCGGATTTCGGCATTCTTTATATATCCGTAATCCTTGTCACGACCACTACAATTTTCTTAATAAATATCGGCTTTATCTAATATTTATTTTCGACGCTCATTTTTAGTCTTAATTAATTAAACCCTAATAATTAAGCATAAAACACATAAAACACATAATATTCATATAATTCCTTTTCATTTCTTTGAAAATGAGTCACAAAGGTTAACCTAGACTATCATGTCAATATTAATGCCTAGCCTAGAAACACGGGCATTACAGAAAGTCTCTACCGGTTCCTGTTTATTAGCTCCGCTTTACCCATTACCGGTTCCTGTTTATTAGCTCCACTTTACCCATTTCCTGCATATTCTCCGATTCCTAGAATTATGTTAGCAGTACTTGTTTTTCTTTGTATTTAATTCAAGTTTGAGATGAATAAAACATAAAATTGCTCCAATTCGTTGTCTCTATCTTTAATTCTTTGGGATATTGATCATCCCAAATTTACGACTAAAGGAGAAAGCCATGCAAATAGTGTGGGACAAATCATAAAAACTGTGTAGCTTCAATCGGGTAGGGGTAATGAAATTGCATAATGCATAGAGGAAGAAGTTCATCCCACCATGGTTTATATGAGCCAATGCCTCCAATTTATACAAAGAGAACCCCAAAAAACTTATAAGGATCTTCCTAACTTCAAATCACTAATAAAATACTCAATAATACATTTCCCTAAACGATCAAGGTTATTATTTATTGGTTAATTTTATTTTCTTTATAGAGTGAGTGTACAAACTTTGGGATCGTGTGATGTAACTTCGAGATCAATGAACTGTCGCGTTATGTATTTGAATATTAGAAACTGACCCATACCAAATTTGATCTTCAATCTCCCAAAATAATCAATATCACCGATCCAAAGCAATCTGTTTTCTCCCAAATTCAGTTCCAAAGATGAATGACACCGATGTGTCCAAGCAGATTGAACAAATGGTCAGATTCATCCGTCAAGAAGCGGATGAAAAGGCCAACGAGATCTCCGTATCCGCCGAAGAAGTAAGTCGCTTTAATCAAATCATATCAAATCAAATCTAGTCAATTTGTCCACTTGATTCAGTTTTTTTCAGTTACGCAGCGAATATTTGGGTTTACGTAACCAAGTAAAACGATATCGTGACTGAAAGACGACTTTTCTGGTTTTGTTTGTAGTTAGCCTCTGTAGGATTTATAAAGTTAAAGCAATTGTAAAGTTCAAATCAACTCACTTTTACTGTTTTACCTTATACGTTTTGAATTCTAACTTTCATTTTGGGTTTGGTAGATTTGAGATCATAGCGTATCAACTCAAGATGCGAATTTCTATTTGGATATCTTGTTTGATTGTTGTTGGATTTAGCATTTCGAAGTTGCAATCAGTACTAACTTTCATTTAGGGCTACTCTATACATTAGCAACATAAGTAGAGTACGGATTGGTGATTGTTGTCGGAATATAACACCAGAAAGTCGGATTAATAGATCAATTACATCAAATTAAGTAATTATAAGCAATTTATTTGCATCAAAATCAGGAATAGCTCTATTTGCTATTACTTATCCAAATTTACCGATCTTTTCAGGAATTTAACATTGAGAAGTTGCAATTAGTGGAGGCGGAGAAAAAGAAAATCCGACAAGAGTATGAACGCAAACAGAAACAAGTTGAAGTTCGAAAGAAAATGTAAATTCTCAAAACATCTTCTTCTGTTCATACATATCTTCATTTTGCATCTAGTTCTTTCTCATAATCCTTGTTGCAGCGAGTATTCTATGCAACTCAACGCTTCTCGAATCAAAGTTCTTCAAGCTCAAGATGACTTGGTTACTGCCATGAGAGAGGATGCATCAAAGGATCTTTTAAATGTCAGCCATCACCATTTCAAACACCAACATAACTACGAAGCATTGTTGAAAGCTCTCATTGTCCAGGTACTGATCAAATATATATGATTCTACATTTCTACTTGCACCATATTATTAAATCACACCATTTCAGCTAAAAGATGAACACTCTGTTTCAGGGTCTACTTAGATTGAAAGAACCATCTGTGTTGTTGAGATGTCGGAAGGAGGATTTACATAAGGTGGAATCTGTTCTTCATTCAGCAAAAGAGGAGTATGCAGCAAAAGCACATGTTCATAAACCTGAGATAATTGTTGACCACATCCACCTTCCATCTGCTCCTTCGTCTGATGATCCTCATGCTCTTTCATGGTATGCTTCCATTTATTTATAAATCATTATATCCTATACATATTTTTTTACTTACCTCTTTAACTTTCTTTTTGATTTTCAGCTCTGGAGGTGTAGTTTTGGCTTCTAGAGATGGTAAAATTGTGTTTGAAAACACACTTGATGCTAGATTGGATGTTACATTCCGTGGGAAACTCCCAGAGGTAAATTTTATTGTATTTACATACATCTTAATCTTAAAAAGTTGTTAAAAAATGATATTGTTTTTAACGTGTTCAATTCATGTAATAGTAATACATTTATGTGTTGTTGCAGATTCGCAAACTGTTGTTCACTCAGGTTGGTGCTTAGTGGATCCACTTGATGTATTTTCAGGTGATTTTATGTTCATTTGTTTGAATAATAATCATATGAGTTATATTATGCAATATGCATACATTCTTTTGACTTATTACATGTATGATGTATGTACTCTTTTGATACTTTCAACTTGCATTGTCCTGATGAAATAAAAGGCTAAAACCCATCTAAACCAAGAAAACCAGTTTTGATAGTGTGGTGGTGTTCGTCTTTATATTGTGGCATTTTTATTTTCTCATCAAAGTTGAGATTTTTTCCACTAACATTCAAGATGATTTTCTGTGAATATTAATTCCTCCATGTTTAGATTTGTAAAGACATTCGAATTTTAGTGATCCAATTGTCTTATCTAAATTGTTATTTGTTTTTAATGATAAGATAACTATACTGTTGGTGACTAAGAATCGGGATTTGAGAGTGCTATATATAGTATAAAATTAATCGGTTTCATCAGATTTGCTTCATCAACTATTTAAATATGGAAGTCGCATATATCTCTAAAATTAAAAAGGCAACAAAACTTATGGTAACTAGATGAGTGACCCCGCATGCATATATATATATATATATATATATATATATATATATATATATATATATATATATATATATATATATGACTTTTTGTATTCTACTGATGGACTACTTATTCCTCATATTTCGAGCGTTCTTCTGGAAGAGTTGGTTTTCATATACGTGACTAATTTTGCAATGGACTACAACAATTAATATACAAAAAGCAAAAAAGAAAACACCCAACAAAACATTTTCAATGTATTACAAAGAGGTGGGTAGGGTAACCCACCCCCATAAAAATGGAAAAGAAAGAAGAAAGAATAACAAATTTGTCCAAGTAAAATTTGTTTACAGATGCATGCATGCACAGAACCTTTAATTTAATTTTCACAAATCAAGGATATCACACACCACCAAGCCTTTGGTGGCTCTGTTGGGGCTACTTCCTCCACCTTGACTGGGGTGGTTTCCGGTGTCTTCTCAACCTCCATTCTACACCACCACCTCAACAGGGTAAACGGAAAGTAAATTACTTCTATGAAGCAACAATTTAAATAAATTAAAAAGAAAATTCAATTAATTAAGAAAAAGAAAAGAGGAAAAGCAATTGATTCCAAATGGCCACAACCGATTTTGTAGGCTTCAATCTGTTAAACTTTCTAAACCAACAAACAACAACCGAAAACATAAAACAATCATCAGTTCATTATGGTTGTTGATATGAAATTCAAAAAAAAAAAAAAAAGGACCTTGCAAACCATATATCATGGAATGTAATGAGTAAGAATCATTCCATTCATCCATTCAAAAAACACCATTAAAGTACATACTAATATATAATTTAAAACCATTAAAATTGACATTTTTTTTATACCTGGCCTTTGACCAAGCATCTACATCTTGATGTGTTTGGTCTTCTGTGTTCTTTTTTAACCTGAAACAATCAATAACAACAAATACATGATAAAATCTGCTAAAAAAAAACTGCAACCAAATTTAATCCAACAAACCTGTTCAAGTGTCCATAGAAGATGGCGTTGATATTTTGTTTGAAATGTAGCTGGACCAATCTGCCCAAAAAAAAAAAAAAAAAGACAACACTGATCAATTCCTAACAACTTTGATACATAAATTATATAAAGTTATCATTTATGGACTTACAGCTTGGCCATGGTAAACTTTTTCTATTAATATACCTCAGCTTCTAACTTTTCAAACTCTTATAAAATATCCTTTTTATCCTTAGCTGGCAACTTCGCCCTTTTCTAAAAGGGATTGTTGAAGGTCATTGGTATGAAATCCTGTTAGAAAAAGAAGACTCGTGTCATTAAACCAATTGATAAAGTGCGCACTAATATACATCTCAATTCATGTATGCAATTCAACATATACAGGCAGGACTTGTGCATATGATAGACAGATAATACATAATATGGTATAAAAGCTTGGGAACTACAAAATATTCAAAGGGCTCCTAGATAACTGGTTATACAATCCACTTTAGCGATCATGTTGCCACATAATATCCAGTGAAAGGTTGTAAAATTTGTATTAAAATACTCATGATCTCTTAGAGAAGTGCTAGTATCAAAATTAGATGAAAAACTACAAAAAGTAATTGAAACAAATGAGGCGCTATAAACTTTAATTGAATACTCGTACCCTTAAATTTGATCTTCTTGGTATATATAAACTCGAACCGAGCATACGACAGGAACATAAAATGGTTTCCAGCAGAGCACTCATTTTAAAAAAAAAAATATACAAGTTAATAGCTTGTAAAATAAATACAAACCCGCTAGAGCAATGAAAAAAATAAGCCTTTAGTTTAGTTGCACATAATCCACAAGACCCTGAAAGTCCTCTTCCAATCCTATTGACATTTGCACTGCAACACTATGATGTCGAAGCTTTTTCCTTGCCTAATTGAAAAAGTCAAGAAATTAATAAACTTTTTGACAGATCTGCCATTTTCTTAATAGGGAAGAAAAGAAGAGAAATAAATACCTGATTGAGAACCTTCCATGGATTCAAAAGTAAACAAAAAGTAAAATTCAAAACCTAGAAACTGTCAAAGAAATCTGGAAAAAAAAATAATAAACAAATTAGGGAATTTAGGATACCTTTGCTGCACAAATTAATGAATTAAGCTGAGAAGGGCATAACATTAGCAAGCAATTGAGCCTATGAGAAAAAAATAGTGTCAATTTCAGTTTAAAATATATTAATTCTCATTAAAAGAAGACAAATAGAAGAAATAAGCCGCAACTTTTTATGATTTCACTTATTTGCTTTTTGAAGCTGCAAAACGATCCTTCTCGGCAGAAGGCCTCCAACCTTCAGAAAGAAGATAGACAATTAAATTGATTGAAATAATGAAATATTAAATATAGAACAGGAGTTGGTAATTTAGAGAAAGCAAAAAGGGTTTTAGACATACCATAAAACGAAATGAGTTCCAAGCTTAATCGCTAGAGAATGATAAAAAACACGATCACTTTCAGCAAGAGTAAATGTTCACTACTCACCTTCAGACACACACACACACACACACTCCAACAATGTCATATCCTTGTAAATAAACAATCAAATAAAGAAAATCATCTTTAGGGGAACCGAAACCTACACAATTACGTGAACAGATATATGCAAACACACACACACACACACAATTGCAACACATATGAGAAGATATGTAAAAAATGCAAAAAATCGTTTTACCTCTGGGTTTTATGTAAAGATAGACATATGGACCTTTCCCCATCTTCGTTCTCTTATTTTACCCATCTATCTCACCCTCAATCTGTCACTTTCGCTTTCTGTTTCCCCCTCAATTTTGCTCCCTACCAATTGCACAAAAACAATCATAACCCTACAAGTATTGGGAAGTAACTCAAATCGAGAACTTAAACAACAATTTCAATCAGCGGAATGGACCTTCCCATCAAGAAGAAGAAGCAGTTAATAGTGTCGTGCCTGGATTCGACGATAGTAGTGGTCTGAAGGGGGGTGATCGTTGGAACTTAGAGGAGTGAGGATGTGGAGATGATCGATTATAAATTATCGAAGTAATCCATTAAGCTTCACGGTGGCGGCAACGTGATCGAAGGCGATAAAATTTGACACCACCAAGTTCAACAGAAGAGGAGAGGGGGAGGTAGGTGAGAGGAGAAATTGTTCATAAGATGCAGATGTGAAGAAATCGGGTGGAGATAGAGATAAGAGGAAGGAGGTATGTGAGTCGGTTATGATCGAATTACAGCAATCCAACTGTAATTGGCTACGAAAATGGTGAACAAATCCGTTGAGAAACACGTGTACAGAAACTTTGTAGAAAAGATCAGATACTGCTAAAGTAAGGTGCTCTTTGTTTTTTCGAAGTAAAACATGTGTGCGGACCACGTCTGCACCCCTCTTCAGCAGAAGAGATGGACCAAAGTGCTGCAGACTGTAATGAGAAGCATGTTTGTTTTTTTAACATCTGCAGATATTAAAAAATTTAAAATAAAATAATTTAATAAACTGAAGATAGTTTTTTAATACCAAAAATTTAATAATAGTAGTCTTAAAACATTGAAATAAAATTCAAACAACCAAATTAGTCTTATAATAACATTTTTAAATAAAATTCATAGAACCAAACTTTAATAATTTTCATTCCATATTTTGCATCAATTGTTCGACAATTTCATCCCGTAACTGGGTCATATATTCACGGTCCGCTGCAGTACCATGTGTTGGAATCTCATCTTCATCATTATCAACGACTGCATTGTTATTCCGAACCGAGACATTTGGTTCATCATATCGTGCAAAAAACTCATCACGTAGTCTCTCTCTTCTTATAAAATTATGAAGCGCAAAACATGCTAGGGTAATGTTTCGTTGTGTAACCAACGAGAATGGTGCCATCCTCTTCAATATAGGGAATCGTGCTTTCAAGACACCAAAAGCCCGCTCAATGACATTCCGAAGTTTTGCGTGTGCATGGTTAATTTTTTCTTTATTCGTTAATGCACGTCTTCGACGGAAATCTCCAAGCCAATACCTCACATTACGGTACGGTGCCATAAAACCTCGAATGTTTGCATAGGCGGCATCACAAAGATAATATTTATCTGTAAAAAAACAAAAAAAAAGTCATTTATTTTTCAAGCTAAGATAAAACTATTTAAATAACCATAAATTTACCTGGTGGTGGAAGCGGGAATGGTGCATGTGGATTTGCTAATGCTTCTGATAAAATTCTAGAATCGTGTGCTATCCCTTCCCAACCGGCCACAACAAACGTAAACATCATGTTGAAGTCACATATTGCCAATACGTTTTGGTAACAATTGCCTTTTCCCCTACTTCTATATAAATCCCGTTTGTTTGCAGGGACAACAACATGTATCAAAGTGCCATCAAGTGCACCAACTGCTCCCTTGAACACCCGTCGTAGCCTCCTATTATGTCCCGGAATGTTTGGATTCGGATTAAAAGAAGTTGGCACTATAATGTCATGTGCGAAAAGCAACATTTTGTCCAACACTTCATGAAAAAACTTATGAATTGTTTGCTTTGAGTGTTGAAATCTCCGCTTGATAATCACATAACGTTGGTTATGACCGATCATCATAAAAAACATAGTCATCTTCTCCTCAACCGACACATGTTTGCTATCCTTTAACGCGTAGTTTACTCTAAAATGAGCACATAGCCGAACAAATGATTCACGGGACATGCGTAGCACTTCAAGACATTGTAGAGGATTACGGTGAAGTAACTCTAACGTAAATTCATGTCCCGTCATTTCCGAATCGTTGTCCCGCACTCGTTTGACACCCCTCTTCCAAAAGTAGCGGACGTACAAGTACATAAGAATTATGAGTAGTATCTTTTTGTCGTGATCCATTACAAACCTATTAATCAACAAAACATAACATAACATAAGATAAAAACATAACATAAATCTCAAGTACGAAAAAACATAAAATAAATTTCAAGTAGCAAATAACCAAAAAACATAACCATATAGTTCCAAAAACTAAAAATAACATTCATCCTCTTAATATTCGTGGATCATTAGGCAAATTTACCCACATCTCTCTCATATTCATGGTCCCTCCAAAAATGTGATACGCAGCAAATCGTAGAGGGTCTATTGGGTCTAACTCGAGCAACTCAAGGTTCTCTAAACATTGGGAAATTATTGGCCCTTGAGTCAAATGGCGTAGAGCTTTTTGCATCTCCAATGCTAAATCATCAGCAGTAAGAGAAGCTTTAGGCGAGGCAGAAGAAGGTGGATCAGGTGAGGCACTAGGAGCTCGAGGTCTAGGAGTTGAGGGTTTAGCCCTTTTGTTGGGGTTACCAGAAGGTGAAGCAGCAGAAGGTGAATCAGCAGAAGGTGAAGCAGTAGAAGGTGGAGGCTGAGTAAAATGCTCACTAGTATGATTGGAAAAGAAATCATCCTCATCTATGTTAATGGAAGGGGCGTCCATAAGATGTAGTGGTGCGACATGGAAAGAAGATGATCCATGTCCCGATGGTGTTTGGGATGTGGCATAGCTGAGATTACCAGATGCACTGTTTCCATCAAAGAGTTCTGCACAAAGCTCTGGAAACAATAATGAGACGGTTTTCAAAGAAGTGGCTTTCGGATGTCCCTAAACGTAATCAATGTAAGAAAAGTAATATAATAATAAATGGCAACTATATAAACAAAATACATATAAATATGTGTGTGTGTATATATATACCTTTTTAAAGTCCTCCCACTCCTCATTTGTTAAGTTAAAAGTATTTGTTTGTGGATTGTAAAGGTTTCCAGTTTTGTTTTTTAAGTATAACCATCCTGTGTATTTGGCTTTAAGGTTATCATAGGCGTTTTTTAATTGTCGATGATTCAAATCCACGCCATACTTTTCCTTAATGGTTGTTCCTAACTTGTGCCATGATTGTTTGTGCAAACTCAAACCTTTTCTACCCACGGTTTGTACTTCTTCAATACAAGTGAGCAATAAACATTTTGTTTGCTCATTGGTCCATGTATGTTTATCTCCCATTGCTAATAACAAAAAAAAATATAGAATACATACTTTAGCAACAAAGATTAATCATATTTCAACATAATCAACAAATACGTTTAGCATATTCAACAATTTAAGCACAAACTTGTAAATAAGCATAAACTTGATCTCCATTCAAGAAATACAAGTGATAACAATTCAACAAATAAGTTTAAAAAAAACCATTTGAGCTAATGATTTCTGCATATAAACTAGCATATGAGTTTATGATTTCAGCATATAAGTATATGGTTTCAGCAAGGATTATGATTTTACCCAACATTCATAACAATTCAACACAAAAATTCATGAACCTAAACATAAATCATGGCTCTAATTAAAGAACAAAACACAAACTCCTAGAATTATAACAAAGCACTAAAGCTGAATTTTAACTCAATTTATGGCTCTAATATCTCTAACTGCTAGAATTATAACAAAACACAAACTTCTCTCTTATAGATCATGGTGGATCTGTTGAAAAACAGCCAATTATGCCCTTATGAAACCATTAAAATCATGAGATTATCATCTTTTTCTTCAATCTTATTTCACAGTTTCAAAGTTTCAGAAAAATGAATAATTCAAAGTTTCAAAGTTATTTCACAGTTTCAAAGCTTATTTCACAACTTCTCTCTTCAATCTTATTTCACAGCTTCAATTTTATTTCACAGTTTCAAAGCTTATTTCACAGCTTCTTCATATTTAGGTACTCAATTAAGAAATCAGGAAAAAAAAAACTAACCTGTTGATGTGATGTTGAAGACGATGGCAGATGGAGGATGGGGCAGCGAAATCGGCGACCAGCAGCAGCAGCGAGCGGCGACCGACAGCGGTGAGCGGCGCTGGGATTTCTTCCGGTCTTCAACAGCGTCGACGCCAAGAGAGAACGAAGGGAGAACGAAGGAGGACGTTGCGGCTATGCTTTTGTCCGTGTCTTTTTTTTTTGTTATTAGGTTTAGAAGTGGTGAGAAGAGGCAAGCCCAATGCTGCGTGGGGAAGAGGACGGGAAGAGGTTTTTGAGCCCGAAGCCTTCTAAAAATCAAACTGCTGCGAACTTAAAAGTGCTGCGTGTGTGCTGCGCCGCGCAGCACTAAGAGGTTAGAAGAGGATTTTTAAAAAAAACAAACACAACCTAAGTAAGCGAAAATATGAGGAAAACGTCAAATATCGCCCATAACACAAATCATTCCAAATTAGGAAACCCCGGTATAAAGCGAGGGCCATTTGTGACAAAAAAATAGTTCACTATTCCTCTGCGCAAATTAGCATGAGGACACTATTCCTTAGCATTGTCCACGTTTAATATGTATATAAATGTGAGGTTTGGCCTCATATTGTGGTAGATTTGATGAAATGATTGTTTCTCCTTTGAAGCCAACTTATTTTTTCTTTAGACAATAACAACGACTAATGGATTGTTGTCCACTACAAATGTGAAAAAATAGTTCTGATGATAGAATTTGTAACTTCTACGGGTTACATTAACCGAATGATAATAAATGTAATTTAGCATTTCATATCTATTATGATTCATGAAATTTTATAATTAATTATAAGCTTATTAGGATTTTCTAATGATCAACTTTTTGACAATGTTTTGAGAGCTTGTAAGAGCTTTAACATTTAAGAAAACGCTTGAATTACAAAAAAAAAAAAAATTGTTTGGTAGTATGATCTTTTAGATTTCATTTCAAACAAAAAACTCATGATCCAAAAATCACTTCAAATAGTTTTTTTGGAACTTTTAACTTTAGGTTTATGTAATTTTACACCTTTAAAATGTAACATCTATTTTTACCGAACACTTTTATATAAATAACACTTTTGCATAAATAAAAGCGAACTTCTAGCTAACAACAACTTATCAGCTTTTATCTTCTAAATTAAACAAAAAAGACTATAATATTAAGCGTTTAAGTATACACATGCAATAGAATTTAAAAAAGAAACATCTTAAGACATAAAAAGCATAACAACAAACATAAAAAATTAGAAATGAAGCTAATGTCCAAACCAATACTATACCACTCTAAGATTCCGATTCTAGGTATTTACATACTCCTATAAACTTGGTAAAAACTAATTTTCTTAATTATATACTTTTAAACCATAGCTAAAAATAATGAAACCCACATTTTATATACAATAATTATTATTGTAAACAACTTTTATATTAACAAAACGTTCATAAAGTTTTTATCTTTTGTTGCATATTTCAATAATTTATTGTATTCTATGTTTATAGATTTATGGTCATTTTAAATATGTTCATTTGGTTCTTCAAACAAC